CAGAATGGGATACAGCTCTGCCATAAAGGTGGCTAAACTTAAGTCATTCACTAGAAAATGAATGGACCTTGAGGCCATAAAATTAAGTAAAATATGTCACTCACAAGGTTAAATATTGTATTTTTTTTCTAATATGAGAGACTCAAAATATAAATATTTTTTAAAACAAAGTAAAAAAGCTGTGTCAAGAAGCAGAGAGGTAGACTTTGAAGAGATGAGAAGGGTTTCTGGGGAAGGGGTGGAGTAAAAAAGATCAAGGTGTGATACAGACATACCTGGTGAATGCAATCACTATGTATTGCAAATATGTACCAATAAAAAAAAATTTTAAAAAAAGAATTCAGAGTTAGAAATGGCCATGATAGCATAAGCACCTGCAAATGGGTAGACATTTGAGGAAGGACTGTGGATTTTACAGTGGTAGAGAACAGAAATGTACACAACCGCTAACCAGGGGAAACTCTCTCATTGTAGGTTAAGCCTCACCACTGCAAAGTATTTGTAAATATTATTACCCCAGTTTATAGAAGAGGAATAGAATCAGAGAGGTCTGGTGTCATAATTGAGACTCAAGTTTATATCTGCCTGACCCAAGTTCTGGCTCCTATCACCTCTCTACACCCACACTCCCCAGCAGTCACAGGAAAAGTTCTTGTACCACACACGTTCTTCTGCTGTTTTTGTTTGCTTGTTTGCTGATTGCTGCTATTTGTTGGGTGCTTCAATCTCTGGTTTTTACATCTCTGTATCAGTTCTTCCCATGCTGTGTGGCAGTTTATCTCCTATAACTGTCTCTATTGTGAGACTGAGCCCCTCCACAAGGAGAAACACCTTATTGGTATATCCTCATCACTTCGTGATCTCTGCAACACAGTATGCATTCCATATTTTTTGTTCATTTTACCCTTTAGGCATTAGTGCTTCTTAACCAACCAACCTGTATCAGGCATCATGGAAAGTACTGAAGACAGAACAATGAATAAAAATAAACTGATGACTCTGACCTCAGTATAGTGAGCACACACATTACACAAACAATCACACAAGCTAAAGCACACGTTAGATATCCACTGCTATGACCAAACACCTCAGTAAACCAACATAAAAGAGGAAAGATTCATTTTAGCTCATGGTTTGAGTGGCTTCAGGTCATAGTTGGGTGGTTCCCTTGTATGCCTGAGGTGAGGCAGAACATCATGGTTGAAGAGTGAGAGAGAGAAAGAGAGAAAGAGGAGGAGTAGGAGTGGCAGAGAGGCACAGAGAGACAGAGAGACAAAAGAAGACCTGAGCATAAGGAAAACCCTTCAGAGGCACACTACCAGTGACCCACCGCATCCAATTTTGCCCCACCTTCCAATATTCGCATTGAGTTATCAACTCATCAGTGGATTAATCCACTTCATAGTGTTCTAAACCTCATGATCCACTCAGTTGCTCAGGTCCCATAGCTGACAACCAAGCCTTTGACAAAGTGAAGCTTTTGGAGCACATTTTGTATCATGGCCATAACTGTGCATAATACTGCCCACTGAGCTGTGTGCTATTCTGAAAGGAACACAGAACTTCAGCAAATCAAGACAGTTTGGGGAGTCAAGGAATGATTGTAGAGAAAAGTATATGTGAGTGAGACATCAAGAATGTGTAAATGAGTAAAAATTCCCAGTGGTGAGAACAGCACAAGCATCCCCTGGGCAGGATGGGACAAGCGTGACTGGAACACCAGTGTGGATGGTTGGCCCTGCATCAGAGGTGAGCAGGAACAGAACTGCCTCGGAGAAAAGGCACTTTTCCCATGAACAGGGAGTAGCCCACAGAGCCTATGCAGAGAAAATCCATGAGTACTTGTTCCATTTCCCAAACATTTGCCCATCTTCTTTACAGACTCACTCTTTATCGTTCAGTATATTGTATAACAGAGAAAGTCTCAACCCATACTAATACAGCCTTAGCATTGGATTGCCCAGGCCACAAGTTCTGCTGGCAGCAGCTGTTCTGATAACCTGGACTCAGAGGCCCCTGGTAAGTGATAGCATCTGAAAGGAGGAGTCTGAGAAAGCAAATCAGTTGTCCACAGATGTGGCTAAGAAATACCTTGCCTGTAAAATGGAGATGAAACTATAAGCACAAGTGGTTAACCAACAAAAAATATTTGTAATCATTGGTAAAATAAAGCCAGATTTTTCTTAAAAGTCATAAATCAGTTAAGTGAGTTTTTCTGACATATTATGAATCCTCAGCTTATATTCTTTGCTAAATGGCATTTTTGCAAAATTTATGAGTATTCCTGTGACAGTTTTGACATGACAGCCTCCAGCCAGTAAATATCTGCTTGAGCACATTAACACATTGCACATTTGACTCCACCCACAGTTTACCACAACTCTTGGTTCCCCCACAGAACAGGACACTGCCTCATTTGTTCACACAGCAACAGCAGTTTTCACCCTAGGGCTTTATTACTAGCAGGCTACCCTAGCCTGCACCCAAGCATCATGCTCAGCTTTATTCACATCCTGCAACGAAGTAATTCTGCCCCCACGTCCCCTGCTCCTAACGTCTAAATCTATTTTTGACCACTTGCAGTTCTTCCTTCTGGTGTGAATTACTTCTCATGACTGAACTAAGGCATTTCACCAACACAATAAGTTGAGCCCAGGTCTAGAATGACCCAATCAGCTTGATTACATGACCCAATCTCAGCAAGTCCCTCCCAGGTCAGGGATGCAGCCTTAGGTGAAGGGGCCAGAATCTCATCAGATTCATCCAAGAATCTCATCGGATTCATCCCAGGTCAGGGATGCAGCCTTAGGTGACTGGGCCAGAATCTCATCAGATACATCCACATTCATCAAATGTGTAGGTAGCTCTTTCCGCAGAAATTGCTTGCTACAGACAGCTCAGGAAGAAGTCAACACTTACAATGTAAAGACATGAGTATTTGATGGCTTAATCCCCCTGATTAAATGTATTTATAATTCCACCTACAGAAACCTACAATAAGCTGAGTTAGTATATATTACCTGACACCATATTTCCATTTTGCTCTATTAGCAAAGACTGGAATTTAATGTCCAAGGATATCTCAGCACACATGCTAAAATGGGAGTATATACTTTCTTAGGAATGAAGAAATACTAATATGCATTCATAAGGATAAGTCATAACGAAGGGAAAGTGATTTATGAAAAAGTACAAGCAACCAAGACAGCATAAGGCATTTGTGGTTTAAATAGGAGTTGAAAGACAAAATAGTATAAAGGCAAGTATTACAAAGAACTTTCTGCCTGGTTATCAGTAAAAATATTTTATAGAAATTAATGGGATTTGTTTTGATTTTTTTATTCATAGTTGTACTTTTCATCTCCTGGATCCATCCATATTAGAAGTTAGAGGCCACAGGACCTGTAACTCTGGTACCTTTTGAAGATAAGCAATTAAAATAAGAAATGGCCTTTTTTTCATAGCTATGAGATAAGTACCCTGAAAGCATGTGGGGTCCTGAGCTATGCTATGAAGTAGAAATTGAAGACAGGGGTTTTTCCAGCCCTATTTTCCCATTCTCATCCCTCTGTTATCTTTCTGCTCTCAAGAACTCTCAGGTGGAATTGAACTTGTGTTGTTCACAACGAAGTATTAAGCTTTTAACAGCTGTGTTCTCTTTTCTACTGATATTTATACTCTGATTTTTAAAATGCCTTAACTCAACACGATGCCTTGTTTGGGTGATAAAGTGGAAGCCATGGGTGCAGTGGAAGGGAAAGTTCTCCATCACATATTGCTCAATACGCCAACTTAGGTAATTGGCTCACAATGGACCCAGACCATTGTCTTAGCTTCCCACACTGTGACAAAGTACTTGTAAAATCAACTTAAAAAGAGAAATGATTTGGGCTCATTGTTTCAGAGATTTTTGCCAACGTCATCTGGCTTCACTGTTCTGGGACCTATTGCAAGCCACAGCATCATTGCAAAAAGTGCATGATATGGTAAAGCTGCTCACCTGATGGTCCCCCAGAAAAAGACAAAAAGAGAGGTGGACCGGGTTTTATTATTTTCTCCTATCGCAAGCCTCAGCAGGACCGCAGGGTCCCAGTCAGTCAGCGTTCATCTGAGTCACTGGGGCCCACCTGACCTCCTACACAGGCCCACCTCCTAAAGGCTGCACCACATCCACAGAGCACTGCCAGAATCTTATAAGCCGTTAACACAGTGGCTTTTGGACCATATGTACGATCATGATCATCACGCCCCTCAATTCTCCTAGTGTATGCTAGTGACCCTCCCCAACCCTGAGATGTCTGCAATGGTCTTTTGTCAGTCTCACTCTCGTTCTCTTAGGCTTCACAATGTGTTAAACGCAGGCAGAGTAAAATTGTGATTTTTCTATTAAGCCGTGTTAGATTTGCAAAAATGTAAAACTGCCAGGCATGGTGACCTATGCCTATAATCACAGCACTTAAGAGGCTGAGACAAGAAGATCACTATGAGTTGAAGACCAATCTGGGCTACATATAGTGAGGTCAAGTCCAGCCTCAACAACGAGACCTTGTCTCAACCCCTCCCCCTCAAAAAAAAATAAATCTATTTTTAAAAATAGAACCTGTGAAGCAATTTCTCTTTCAAATTTCTTTTGTTTTTTGTTTTGCATTTCCAATGGTTTTTATTACACACTCAACTCTAGTAAATACTGGATTTGGTTCTAGTCTCTTTCCGTTCCATCCGTCCATTCCCCCTAGGACTGTGCACTTATCTTCTCATCCGCTTTTGGGGCGGTACAGAGTTGGCAAGGACCCGCAGGACAGCAAGGTCCCAGTCAGTCAGTCTTCATCTGAGTCACTGGGGCCCATATACTGGCAGACAGCATCGTAGTCAAGTTCCACCAACTGACTCTCTCTCCACAGCTGCACCACAGCCCGGCTCCGGGCTCGGTCCTGGCCCAGCAGACGGCCCACCCTTCCAGCCTGTGGCCCCAGCACCACCATCACGCGACCGCCCTCCACCTTAGGCACCAGGGTCTCCAGCATGTCTTCCCTCAGGCCTTCCAGGACCCGTCCTTCATCTGTCCGGCACACGCACGAATCTGGGCTCGGGACATCTTCGATCTTCATCTTGGTGTTGTAATACCGGCCGCCCTCGTGCAGCTTGTCCACGCAGCGCACGCGCAGGTCCCTGCGCAACCAGTGCCGAGCCCCGCCGGCTGCCCTCCCGCCCTGGGCCGCGGGCCCCGCGGGGCGCTTCTCCTTCCTCTCGGAGCCCTCCGGCCGGCCTCGGGCGTCTTCTCTCCCGAGGGCCTTCGGCGCCGAGGACGCTGCCCTTGCGGGGCGGGGACGCGGGGCGTGCTCGG